GGCCACGTCTGCAGTTTGTCGCCTCGCTGCGGCCTTTTAAGGCGCCACCTTTTATACAATACGTGCGTGTATGTGTGTGTGTGTGTTTGTGTGTTTGTATGCCTTGCTTCGGTCCTTATTTGATTAACGTTCGATTTTCACAATTTATGAAACTTCATTAAAGAGCGCGAAACACGCCGTCCGTCGCTGTCCTCCTCCCTGCCACAAATGCTGCACGTGCAGCATGCGAAAAATGTTAATAAAGTTTTTTCCCTCTGGCTTCCCCCCCACACCTCACCAACAGTTTCACCTCATCCAGCACGCACTTGCCGTCGTCCGCGTTGGCGTCGCCATCTTCATCATTGCCGCCATTTTTCATCCGAAATTGAATTCATTTGGTCTGTAGCTGTGTGTGTGTCTGTCTTTCCCTCTCTCTTTTCTTTCTGTCTGCGTACGTGCTGCCTTGTATTTTATTTATGTTTTAATTTTGATAATTTTTATGAATTTGCCTGCGGATATTTGAATTTTATTGAGTAGTTCGCCCGAATGGAATACCGTATTTTTGTGTCTAATAGAAAATAATGGCAAATTTTTGGCACTTTCATTATAAATCCTGCTTTAAAATTTCACAAAAACAGACGCTAATAATCAAAGTAATAAATCAAATACAATCAACTCAGCGTAAAATAAAATGAAAGCCAGTGAAATCAACTATTAAAAAATTTATCTAATGGATTTCCGCAAAATTAAATTAATATCTAACTAAAACTGATTTTCAAAAATGCTTTAAATTTAAATAAAGCTAAATTAAATATATAAGCTCTGGATTGTTTCCAATTCTATACGCAATTATTATCCGTGTGAATGCCTCACATTCTACAGAAAAATAGCTCAATATTAGCTAACAATGAAGGGATAGGTAAAATGAGCTGTTACCTCCAGGGAATTTCATCATAAAGTCCAGCACAATATTTTCTCCTCAACAGGATGATGAACTAACAATTAAAAAAAAAAAAACAGGCTAAACTATGCATCAAATACAATCAGTTTCGTTCCACCTTTCGCTCAATTAAGAGCGATGATCCCACTTGGTTTAGTGAGACTGGCCACGCCCTCTGTTTTCCTAGCATTTTCCAAGAGGAGGCCAAGCGACTGTGATGCAACTGCAGCTGTCTGTCCACAATGGTTTATTCTGTGTGTGTTTGTGTGTGTGTGTGTGTAAGCTACATTTCAAAATGCCAGTTGGGATTATTTAAATTGCAGATTTTTCTTATTGAATTTGTCGAAATACTTTGGGTGTATAATTTATTTTTGTTTCTGTCGACTACTGCACCACACAATGCGCCGCTCCGCTGCTGAAAAATTGCATAAAATTTACAACAACAACAAAAAAAGTGTACTTTGTTTTTTTTTTATTTATTTTGTTTTTGTAATTTTTATATATATGTAGATATATATTTTTTTTGTTGGCCTGTCAACATGCTTTGCCTATGCATGTCTGAGAGCCTGTCTGTCAACCAACAAACAGCGCAAAAAAAACCAAATGAAAAAAAAGAAAAGAGTTTTGTGTCGGCAGCATTTGTCAGAAATGTCGTACGATTGTCAAGCAGACGATACAAGATGCTAGTAGTAGGATGCCAGGCCATTGACAGAAATAAAAGAAATACATAGATAGATAGATTTTTATTGGTTACTCTGGGCTAAACGAACTCAACTTTTGGGGCTAACTTTGGGTCTCAGCTTCGAATTTATGCAATCCAAAAAGCGAAACGAAAGCGCAAATGAAAATTCACCAGCATTTGCATAAAGGAAAGGTAAGCAAATGTAACGAGTGACAGACAAACGAGCCTACACACCTGACCAGGGCCTGAGTGACTGCCAAGAGACACGCCTCTGCCGCAGCTCCTTCCACATCCATGACGTACCGACTGGCCATTCGATGGCCAACAAAAAAAAAGTTTATTTAGCCAACATTTGGCAGCAACGCTGCTCCCTCTCTCTCTCTCTACTCGGTACTGCTGCGTACTTTTTCCTGCTAAACGTTTTCGAATTGACATTTTGACATTTTGGCATAGCAAATTTTGGCTCCCGGGGTTGGGGCGCTGGGACCAAAGCCAGGAAGCTTGAATGCTGGATCTGGTGACAGCTGAACAGGCGCATTGATGGAGGGGTACAGCCCCAGCCCCAGCCCCGGGCTGAAATTATTTACATACGGCTGTGTCAGTTGTCGGACATTAAAGCTGATACCCACAAAAAAAAAAAAAAACTGTATAAGCTAGTGAAAGTTCTGGCATTCAGCTACTCCCCACAGTCAGTTGAACTTTAGGCTTTGGTCATCATTAAGTCATGTGAGAAATGGAGACAACTGTACTGCTACTCGTACGTGATTCAGTTGCTGGCATTGCCCAAAATTAGCATTTTAAACACCTCTTACTTTTGGCCGAAACAAACAAAAAAAAAAGCGAAACCAAAAGCGCTACGATACTCTGCCTCTTGGCGATTCTGCCGTTCGTCCTGCCATCGGCCGGCCAGCATACGACGCGTGTGCAGCCGTTTATGGTCAGTCAAGTCGGCAAACATTTTGGCTATCAGCAGACAACCAAATCGAAATCAAAGTCGTGTGTGTGTGTGCGACTGATTTTTGGCTTCCTCACTTTATATGGCCAGGGGAAACTTTCAATTAACACAAGCAAGTCGCATCCTCAGCTGCTGCTGCTGCTGCACAACCAAAACGTATTTTCACGCTCCATGACCAAGTTTGGTCGCCAAAAAGCCAACAACCAGCAACCAGCAGCAACTTCCAGCGACGCGACGACCAAGAGAGCAATGCCAAGCGATTGGCCATTAATTGCCGGACGGTACAGGATTTGTGCCCGTCCACGTTTATTAACACCAAATTAATCAAAACAAGCGTTTGACAGCTGAGTGATTTGTGCCAGCCGCCTGCTCAGGGGCCCAGCCCCAGTCTCAGTCCCGGTCGCAGTCGCAGCCTGTTCAAGCCGTGAATTAAACTGTGGCGCCACTGTTGGATTTTTCTAATTATGTCGTGGCCCCAGCCCCATTCCGGATCCACTCCCACTTGTCGCACACACACACACACACACTCGTTTATGGTCAGGCAGCAAATCTCGTTAAAGACCAAACTCAAATCGGGTTCGAAGTTTGTCGGCCAATAAGCCTTTGATCTTCGGCAAACTCTTATAAATGCGTGCCGCCGGCAAAGAGCAACATTTTGCTGGCTGCCCCGCGATCGTTGGGGCAGCGCTTTGTGGCTGTAGCAGTAGCTGTATTTATATTTGTATCTGTCTTGCCACATTAGCAGGCGGCACGCCCATAAATCTTCAGTGCCAAATTGAAAGCGCTGATTGAGTGAATGAATAACTGAATGATTGAATGGATGGATGAGTGAGCGAGTGAGTGAGTGTGTGTCGCAGAGCGTTGGAGAGCGATGCATGTGATTAAAAAAGCGCTGCTGCCATAATTTGGCTTTAATTGGCTTGACGCGTCGCGTCGCGTGCTGCTGATGCTGTTGCTGCTGCGGCATGGAACGGAACTCAGTGGGTGTTGTATGCCACATATTAAGCAAACATGAGCATAATGGCAATTTACACTCGCACACACACACAAACACACACACAGAGACTCGTACACAGTGTCGCAATTAACATGACATGTCGTACGCGTCGCCTTGATTGGGTTGGAGGATTGGGTCGGTGGCGGGCCGGATGGAGGCAATCTCGCGGCTACAGGATACATGGCGATTGCATTAACCACAAAACTCCATTCGATGCTGCAGGTGAAAAGAAATACACAAACAAAGCGTAGTACAAACCAAAGGAATACCCTGGAAAGGAAACTTTGATGGAATATTGTGAGAATTAATGGTATACAAAATAGCTACAGTTTATGGAGCAGAGAAAAAATTGTTTAAATAAGATGAAGCAAAGAGAAACCATTTGGGGAAAACGCTTTAGTCATTTTTGGTTGTTGGATTCGATTAGTAAATTTATTTATATGAGGTAATTTCTCATCTCTGTGGTTGCTTCGCTTTGGAAAAATACTCAGTAAATTAATTGGCACACCTTGGACTATTACTTGCCACAGAATAAATACAATTACTAATCATACAACAAATCTCTACAAATTCCTCAATAATTAATGTTGACAGGTCCCTACCACAAGTCAGATATGCCCACTGCTGCCGCTGGGCTGCTTATAAAATTCTGTGCGTGACAACAGGGAGGAGCTGGAGCTTGAAGCCACAGAAGGCAAGGCTATAACTTAGTGACTGCTTTAATTTTAATTATTGCGATTTGCCTGCCCCACCCAAGTTCGGCGCGCTAACTTACCCACAGCCACAGGCCGAAGGAGTCTGACTAATTTGCCAACAACATGACACCGACTTGAGCGACGCTGAATTGCTCTGAACCGCTTGATTAAGTCGAGGCACTCAAAACGTGGCTTGTTGTTGCCGGTTGCTGCTGGTTGCTGCCACTGCCTCTTGCCGTTCCGTTGCACATGGTCGTCGTTTTGGTTTTTGGCATGCGCTGGCGTTAATTAAGCTGCAGCTAAGAGCTGCGTGGCAGAGAACGCAGCTGCGTGTCGCTCGGTCGTCTGGTAATCTCCACGGATTAAGCCGACACTCCGGCACAGTCATATGGCAAGAGGCAAGCGGCAAGCGGTAAGCGGCAAGAGCCATGTTGTCGCTGCGCTGCGCTCTTTTGCCAGGCTTGTTAACAATATTTCGACTTGTTTCCGACTGACGAGCGGGCATCAAACACGCGGCCTGCGGCCAAGTGTCAGCCACCAAATGTCACAGCGGAGCACTTAAACTATCCCAGTGACAACAGCAGGGCAACAGTTTTGTTAAATGAATGAATATGCTCTACATACTCGTATATCTGTTGGCAGGGGTAAACACTGAGCGAAAAAAATGCCAAATGGAATCTACTTTTGCGTAGATAAATGCTGAATTTATGCCACACAAAACCAGTTTAAAGAGGCAAGAAATATATCTGCAATTGCCTTTAGGTTAGCCTTTATTTATGCTTTACTTAGGGCGCAAATTTCCTTGATCGAATTTAATTTGTATTTCTGTTTATAGCCAAAAATTTGCAGTAGTTGCAGTTGATCCTTAATTTAGTATTCAATAGCATCAAGGACGAGTTTTTCCGTAGCCGCAGAGCTTTCCACAGAGCCAGGTATGTACTTGCCAATGCTGGCCAAACTGTTGGCCTACAGAAGGGTAAAACGATTAATAAAAAATAATTGAATATATAGTATTTAAAGTTAGATGACTATAGCGCACCTTACAACGCTTGATCAGCTCGTTTTGGGCATTGCCGATATTGTCCTTGCGACCGCCCCAGGTGCGCAGCACCGACGACTGCAGTGCCCTATCGAAGGCGAAGGTCATGGCCCAGGGCTTGCACAGTGGCACATTGTTGATGGCATTCAGATTGATAGTCGCCTCCTCCTCCGATTGATTGCCCGAACAGAACATGACACCTGCCAAATGCCAAATAAAACACGTCAGACAAGCAAAGGGTTTTCTCTTCTTTCTTAAAACTCACCAGGGACTGCAGGTGGCACTGTGCGACGTATGGCGAGTACTGTGGACAGACCTATTTCCGCTGGTGAATTGGTTTTATTGCTCTGCAGTCCGGGCGTCACAATGCTGGGCTGCAGCAGACTGCCCTCCAGGAAGATGTGATGATCGTTGAGGGACTTGTAGACGGCAGCCAAAACGGTTTCGGCGACCTTCTGGCACCGGTCCAGATCGTGCTCGCCAATGGCCAGGATATCGGGATTGATAATTGGAACGAGGCCCTGCGATTGGCAGGTGGCTGCATAGCGTGCCAGCACATTGGCATTCTCGAGAATGGCCTGGTGGGATGGCGTATTTTTGGTTATCTTGAGGACACAGCGCCACTTGGCGAAGCTGCAGCCCTCCTTCTTGAACTGAGAGCAGCGGGCGGCCAGATCGTCCAGACCCTGGGTAGTGAACTCCTCCTCCGAGCCGAAGAGCGGCACAAACTGCTTGTCCACCTTGATGCCCGTCAGGATGCCCTTCTTGCGCAGCACCTCGGCAAAGGGTACGCTGTCGTCTGTTTTCTGGTGCAGCGATTCGGGTGGGAATATGACGCCCGATATATTCTCGGCTATCTTTGCATCGGCCGTGAACAAGAGCTGACGATACGTGCGACGATTCTCCTCTGTGTTCTCCACCCCAATCAACTGGAGACGCTTGCCCATCTGCGAGCTGGACTCGTCCACGGCCAGGATACCCTTGCCGGGTGCCACCAAACCCTTGGCTATGCAGGTGAGCTCCTCCTGCAGCTCCTTGTCGGGGTAAAAGAAGTGGGTCGTCATTTTGTTAGCCGGAAAATTTTGATTGTGCCGAAAAGAAATTTGGAAATAGCTCACAGAGCACAAGCTGGGGGCAATGCTTCAACAGTGACAGTTAAGTCTTGGCCGTTGAGCAGCCACAAGGAAGTCTCAAGGATTATATTAGATAAGCGTAAATATATCTCTATGAAATGGTTTACAAATTGCGCTGTCTTCTGTATCGTAATATTTTGTGTTTACTTGCTATTTCTTTTTTGATAATTAATGCCACTGTTTAATATGCTTATTTATTTATAGCTGAGTTACTCGATTATTCTGCAATCAAGATGGAACCAAATTCATCTTTATTTATGTCTGAATATACCACCTGAGCATTTAGCACTTTTCTTCGGCTAATGGCATTCTAATTTGACTTTTAATTGCTTTCTCAGAGCGAGTTCAGCAACGATAGCCAGAGATAACAGACGGCGGATTAACCTCCCATTAATTATCTCTGACCGCAACGAAAATTTTCACTTTTTTACAAGTTTCGCTTTGGACATTTTATGGCAAAAGTTTGCCTAACACAAATTCAGCCAAAGAGGCTAAAGTGTGTCATAAGAATCATGAGAAACAAAAAATAATGCGAAATAACATAAAGAAATTAAGTTAAAATTGTTCGAACCATTTTCAGAGCGTAAATTGAATTTTCCAAATATTTTCTTTTGCTTTTGTGGTACGAGAGCAATTATTGAACGGACCTCGAAGCTTGTTGAATTCAATTGATTTTGAGTGGACTTGGTCTGATGCGATCCGATCCGAATCGACTAATTCTAATTGGCGTGGGAAACGCATCGAGTGCTCCAAAAAGCTGTAAAAGGTCCGCCGGCTAGACAGTTGCCTAATTTTGTGTAAATTATCGCACGAATTATGAGTCTCGTACGTGAAATTTTCCAAAAATAGTCAGGGCAGCCACGAAACACATCGCAAAAATTTAATACGATAAATATCAGACAACAAAAAGTGGCTATATTCCCCAATATACAAAAAAAAAAACAAACAAAAACACCAACCATTGCATTTCAGATTGAGTGTTTGTGTGTGTGTGTACGTTTTTGTGTACGATCCGACATCGTCATCAATATTCAAGTTTAGATCTCTGAGTCGAGTCCCCCCCAATTAGGCCAGCGGCAAGACGCCAGCCAGGTCGATTCGAGTCCGCCGAGCCTAATCGCAAAGCCAATAAATATGATCAACTGCACTGCGAAAATCCCCAACTGCAGTAGCCAGTCCCAGTCCCAGCCTCAGTCCCAGTCCCAGCCTCAGTCGCAGTCCCAGCCTCAGTCCCAGCCTCAGCCTCAGTCGCAGTCTTTGCCAGCCAAAATGTCTTAGCACCTAATTGAGCGAATCGCGTGGAGTCGCGTCTGAGTCAGCTTGGACGACAGTAGACGGTGGCAGCATTGGGGTACATGGCTGCCAAAGTGGCTTAAAAATTATTAATTGATTATCTATAAACGTTTTAATTGAAAATTGCCAGCCAACGTAATTGGCAATGCGAACTGGCGATACTCTTTGGCAGCAAGAAAAAGATAAAAATTCTATTGAGACTACAGTATCTAAATTATAAATTTAAAAATTTAACTGAACTCATAAATAAATATTCATATATATTCTTACATATTTTAAGCAAGCCCCCCGTTCCTCAGCCTCACATTTCTTTTTAGTTTAATCCAATTAATACAAAAACTTTGCCAATCGGATTCTTTTTTTGTCTCTCCTTGCGAACTGCAATGATCCTTAGCAGTTGGTAATGCCCCGCATAATCGGTTAGGGAATTCCAATGGACAGGGAGCCACTTGGCTCTTGTCTTTTCAATATTAAATTGGCCGCTGGTCAGCGTTTAGTCAGTCAGGCGTAATTATTGTTATTACCAAATTAAGTAGCCGATTTTTTTGCCCATTCGCATCGACTCTTAATCAGACAGAGGCTACTGTGCGGACCAGACCGACTATAATCCGCCGACTACTCGTACTTGGAGTTTGTCTGGTAAGTAGCGTGCCGGGTACGGTGGTGGGGTGGGAGGAGACTTACTCACGCTCTTTGGGCCAGTGTAATTTTTTTACGATTTTGGGTTTTCAATTTTTGAGCACAAAGTCGTTTTGACCAAAAGCATACGCAGGCATCATTTTCAAACTCAAATCTCTTCATTTTTAATGTGCGCCTGGCAGCCACGGCAACCGTTCTCGCATATGATGCACACACACACACACACATCAGAGAAATCAATAAAAAAAAAAATATATATATATATATACAGACTCCTTAGCAGACGATGGCTTAAGTCCGCGTCTGGCATTGCCTGGTAGAGGGGTAGGGAGAAATCGACTGAGATTAAATCGAGCGCACATAATCATATTTAGCTTTTTGGCCACAGCGTTCGTGGATGTCAACTGCAGGCCACGGGTCGATGTTGGCCCCCGTCATCGTCATCGCTATGGCCCGTTGTCGTGGATCGTGCCGCTAGCCCGACCTGGCCAGGCCAGGCCTGGAGTGCCAGTGGCTATGCCTCATGACCAAAAAAAAACAATGGCTAAGCGCCACCATCTATGAATTAATCACGTTCATAATTTTGCCATCGTGTTGCGTTCGGCAGCTTGTTGTTCATAATTTCTTGTGTACTTTTCGGTTATGGCCTGTGCTTAATTTGCCTAAAAAAGGATATTTCGCGAACAGCAGTGTGAACGGCGGACAGGAGAGGAGAGCGCCATCTTTCTAGCCATATTGTTGCATAATTAGGCAATGGTACGGGGTGTTTGCTGTGGCATTTCTTGGCGCGAAAAGGCTTGTGTGTGGTCATGTTGTAACAAACCATTGTGTTGAGCATTTATTGTTGCATTTGCATTGTTCAATATGGAAATTAGGCGTCTCTGTCATCGTGGCATCGGTGGGAAAGTTATGTTAGCAAACATTTATGGCAGATTATTTTGTAGCCTTCTCAACTTTCTTAACTGTCCGTAAATACATTCTGAATAATGTTGGGACTCTGATTAGATTTAAGGCCATGCTTGCGCTCTCTAAGATTCTCTCCATTACTAATCTCAATTGAGATTCCAGCCCAGGCACTTGAGCTGACAGACGGCACGTGCCGCAGCCATATACATCAATATCTAAATCGTTATACATGTCTGCCGCATGTCAGTCAACGGCAAAGGCAAAGGCAAAAGGCCATTTTGTGAAATCTTCATTAAATCAACTTCCAGGCGATTGCACAGCGGGCGGGGAACGGGACCGGGACCGGGACTGGGACCGGGACTGGGACCGGGACCTCTTGGTGAACTTTACGACACGAAAATATACACTTTTGGCTTCAGATTTTTGTTTCGTTTTCATTAAAATTTACGCATTATCGCATAAGTACTACTGTATGTGGAGTGCCCCCCACTCGGGGTGGCAGCATCCGAGGTTCGGTAGGTTGCCCAATTTTTACCAATTAACTGCGGCACAATCTCACGTACATCGGCAATGCGTTTGCAGGCTTGCGCCTGGCCTGCGTCTGGAGTGACGTGAAGTGGGTGGCAGTTTCAATTTCACGCTGGATCTTTTTATGTGCTGTGTTTGCCATATCGCGCCGCGGCGCATATCGGTCGTTAAAAACGCCTCACATAATTTCGCTTATGTGCGTGTGACATTTAGCACCGACAATTCCAGCCACGGTCTGGCCCCTGGCTGGATCTGGTCGCAGCAGGAGAACGTTCTGCCAGTTGGCTGATGGGACGGCGCAGTGTGTTCTCTGTTTGTGGTGGATAAAAGGCGGGGCCCCGTGGATGGCTGGCCAACCCAGTGGCAATTATTTTTAAACTGTGTGCTGAACAAGCAGACGAAAGGGCAGCAGCAGCCCGAGAACAGTGGCACAAAAAATGCACCTGGGCATTGCAAATGGTATCGACATTTTTCCTGTTGCAACTAAAGCTGAGAACTTTTTCGGAATTTTAAAATATAATCAAAAATGTATCATTGTAGTGATTGAAATTTAATGCTGAATATTTTAATTGGTCATTTCTATGAACTGCAATACATTAAATAATATTTCAAGTTTTTTTTTTTTATATAAAAAATATTTTAAATATTTTTGAGTTAATTTGTATATTTTTTTTTTAGCTTTTTTCAACCACTGTTAAATCGTGCTCTGTCCGTTCCGAAATGTTAAATGCTTTACACTCAATAATTTAAAATAGCTGTTCTTGATAATGCGCTGGGAAAACAGCAACAAAAAAAAAACAAAAAATAACATAAAACCTTTTTGGCTGCGGCATGCAGTGCGTATGCGTGGTGCCAAAAGGTATTTTGCTCTTTTGCATCTGTGTGTGTGTGTGTGTGTGTGGCATGCCAAACATTTGCGCGGCGGCGGCGGCGGTGGGCTCTGTGAGAGCCATAACCTTGCCAGTTAGCAGTCACCTGGTAATTGCCATCGGCATCAGCGTTGGCGTTGGCGTTCAACTTGCTGTCGATGTCGAGGTGGATGTGGACGATGTCGTTCGCGTTCGCTTTGGCTTTGGCGTTGGCGTTGGCGTGGCGCACGTTTTGATTTGCAGTCAATGGAGGTGCTCGTAAAGTCGTGTAACACTTTTGCTGTTGTTGCCTGCTGCATTTGGCTGTGGTGTCTTTTGGGGGCATTTGCATTCGGCTGAGCTGAGCTCAGCTCAGCTCAGCGCAGCTACGGGGGCGACCACCCACGCGCGACTCCGTCAGTGACTCAAGTTTTTCATTCATAAAAAAAGAGCGAGAAAAAACAGCGACACAGGCAGGTGTCGCTGCCGCTGCTGCCGCTGCTGGCGGCCCACCTCATTTGGCATTCAAAGTGCAATTGCTCGTTGGCAAAAGTTCAAGCGAAAGAGGTTAGACGTGCGGCCAAATCAATCAGGCCTCTGGATGGACATTTATTCAATTGGGCGTTGCCGAATCTTTGTGTTAATTGCATGAAAAGAGCTTTATCTGCAGTCCCCATCCCCCCTATATCTCCCTCTCTGGGCTGCCGTCAAGCGGGTAAAACATTTATCAAGGCTGCTTTTATTGCTTGTTAATTGCCCGGCAGAAACACAAACAATAGCACGCCCATGCCATGCACCTGCCAGCC